GCGGACTTCGTGGTTGGCATGACGTCGATAGTCGGCTTTGATGAAACCAGCGGTGCCAGTGGAACGACGATGCCAGTCGTCTCCGAGTCTTTGGTTTTGGGCTTTGCCTTTCCCTTGCGAGCCCCATCTAGACCCCTGTCTGGTTTTGTGAGGTCATCTTTGGGAGCGGGCTTTGAAGACTTTTTGGGTGACATGATGTCCTCGTTGGTGCTCTTGTTCGATAGAGGCTTTCGAGCAGTTGTGATGGGAGCGGTCAAGCTATCTTTCGCTTCGCGTCGAATGCTCGCGAGCTCCTTCAATGTTTTGGTATTCTTTCCTTCGGTGCGGATGGTGCTACGGGGTCTTGGCGCTGTGGACACAGCGGCGGAAGAGGTTGTCGTGTTCAGGACATCATTCGATCCAAACTTCCGCTTGGAGCTTGTTTTTGCCAGTTCAGGTGCATTCTGCTTCTTGACGGGCGTGGGACTCGAAATGTCCGTTTCGACCTGATGGGCATCGTCTGGTTCTGTCGTGGCCGCCCCCGATTTAACAGGCGTGATCATTTTCGTCGGTGCAGGCGAAATTGGCGAAGCTGGCGCCTCAAATTTCACGTCGACGCTCAGTTGTTTGTTCGTTGGTTGAACTCTGCTGGGTGATGTCTTTACGGGATCGGTGTCGATATCAACGAATCGCGACATGGGAGGGGGGCCCAACTCTGGAGAGTCTGTGGTATCGGCAGCACTGCACAAAGCCATGATCTCGTTCTGGCTGTTCTCGGGTTAGCGCAGCAAGACAAATGCGTCTCGGTGCAACACGTACTCCATAGTGCGACGGGAGGTCCAGTCTCTTTTCTCAGCAATCGGGGTCAACCTGCCCTCAGCCTTGGCACGGGCTTCGGCTTCTTCTTGGGTCTCAAATGGACGAATACGACGGGCTGCAGGGCTACGTCGGTTGAGAGAGATCCGGGCTGCTGTCGACTCTCTGCGCTGCCTCGCGTTCGAATGTCGCTTCCTGGGCGGTGCGGTTCCCAGCTCCCCGAGCATCTCGACGCACTGAAGTAGGCGGGCTTCCAGCTGAGTGCGCATGTCGATCGCATGATCAGCTATCCTGTGTGCCTCGCTGTCTGGTTCGGGCTGTTGTTCCAGGGCAATAATGCGACCCTCGAGGGTAAGCTTGTCTGACATGAGCTGGGCATTCTGTGCCTCGAGTGTTCGGATGCGAAGTAGATGGGTGGAATTGGCCCTCGCAAGGTCCCTGTTCTGGCGGAGAAGTTTTCTTCGGACTGCATCGCAGATGGAGTCAGCAAGAGGAAAAGTACAAACAAACGAATGCAGGCTGGGATGCGACATACTGATATCAAGATTGTCCGTAGACACTGGAGGTTCATTGAGTCGCGCCATTTTTCATGGTGTTGCGGGTGTATTCTGAAGCAACGGGGGCCGCGTAGACTCGGACGCGAAACGGAGAGACAACGAGCAGCCAGACGAGTTTGTTCAAGGTCGTGAGGTGTTGAAATCTTGCAGGAGGCTGGGGGGAGAAGCGGTGTGGTGAGGATGCTGGTGTGGAATGGGGACCAAATCTCAACGTCCCCCATGTCATTTATTTACTGTCGTCCACATGCAGCCTAGCGTCGTCGAGGGCCAGGGTGCACTGGGTTGCTGGGGCTGCAGGCATGCCCCGCTGTCAATCAACAGCGACCCCACCATGCCAGCCTGGCACTCGCCCCGCTCACTACTCAGCGCGACAGCACAGGGCTCTGAAGCCTCTGTCAGCACCTGCTTCACCACCCCACCATCCTCATTAGAACCCAAGGCCCGAATGCCTACGAGGAGCCACACGCCACGACATGTGAACTGGAGCCTCCCAAGCTCGTCTCAACATCGACCATGTCGTATCATACCAGGTCGTTGTCAACCCGACTAACAGCGCCCGGCGCAGGCGTTCGCGATGGATCTTCCTCGATGGGCGGCCCCTCACCTGCCCTCGTGGCACGCATCGAAGAGAAGAAGGCAGAACTGGACAATCTCAAACAGCTGCGCGACCTGAGTGCAGCTGTTGCCTCCCAGATGGAGGCTTTGGAGCAGCAGCTTTCGACGCTTTCAGATGGGACGGAAGCCATCGCGACTGTCATTGGCAACTGGCATAACGTTCTCCGTGCCATCAACATGGCCTCCAGTGTGTCACTCCTTGTCTCTGGGGGGGCTGGTGCGAAGCAACCGCTAACTAGACGTCTAGCCAAAATCCCGATGCCAAAGGGCGATGCGACCGACGACGCAAGCGAGTCGGCGCCTTCTCTGCCGCAGACCTTGGTCCGTATTCCAACAGAACACGCTCCCTCACTGCAAGCACAGGCCGAACAAGCGGAGCAGGATCAAGCCGCAGGAACGTCTCCTTGAACGTACGACTACAACGAACATACACATCGGATTGCCAAGGTATTCGAGTCTCTGCGGCCGTACTGGCTAAGGCCTGAGGGGCTTTGCTTGACGCACTACAACCCTAGGGCCCAGTGGTTGCGCTCAACGTCTTGCCTCAACGGTGAGATGCTTACCAGTCGAGAAGGCACGCCTCATTGCAACTTCACGAAATGATCCTCGCATGAGCTCCGAGCTTTCTTCGCCCCCATCCGAAGTCGCCAGGCGGCGGTCTGGGTTGATGCCCGACTGATGCATTGCCGCTCCTTCGCATTTGGCTTCTCCAGACGAGCAGCCTATCAGCAGTCTGGCACTCGACGCGGGTCGCGTCTTCCCCTCCATCTCTCCATCTCTCCATATGGGAAAGGCAACCGAGTACAACCCCAACAACCACAAGCTGGCAGACGCTTGACCATTTTTATGGGATGCACCCACCCGCGTCCTCGCTGAATCTGGCGAAGCAAGAAACAACAGGCGGATGCACCAACAGGCAGGCATGAGACAAAAGAAGTGATGGTCAAAGCCCCTCAATCGCCTTTTGTCCCGCCCGTGTACCTCGCTCCTCCTGCCATCACCACCATTGACGACGCCCCATTATTGCGTACGACACGTTACCAGTGGACATCAGCTTGCAGAATACCCCTTAGCTCTAGTCCCTTTCAATCAAAGTCATTCAGATCCATTTCCCTTTCCACAGAAGATCATCTACCCCCGGTCGTTTAAGTCGCCGGCCTTTATCCGCGAGATTACAACATGGCCTCGGCTTCCCCAACACCACTCACGAACCCTGTCGAGACCCTGGCCTCTGAACTTAAGCAGCTCCGCATCAAGAGTCCAGAGAGGCCTGTCTCGCGCCGTCGCCATGGCCGCTCGTCCTTCGAGACTGACTCTTCTTGGGAACCCCTCAAGGCCATCAAGGAGACCTGCGAGCCCGACGACGCAGACACAAACGGCAACGCCCTGTATTTCCAAGACTTGTTGGAGGCACAAGGTTCGTCCGTGATTCCCATTACACAGCTCCACCAACGGCTCAGCGGACACCCGGTGGCTAACGATCCCAGTCTTCCGCGCTGTCGGCCCTGACGGCATCAACGCAGCTGGCCCGAAGCAAGACCTCCTCCACGACTACGCTTTCCTCGCCAGCATCGCAAGGCACTGCAACGGTCGATTCGACTACGTCTTGTCGGTTCCCGAATCCGCAATTGGCGACGGCCGCGGCACCTGCAGTCCTCCCAACGACAGGACCATCCGCTATGGCTGCAACCTGCTGATTGAGAGAAAGGAAACAAGCGCAAGGACTCTTTGCGAGGGTCATACAAATATCGTGTACACTGTGTTGAGCACGGAGCTCCTTGGGCAGGAGGACCTGCACCACCAGCTGCGGCATTCATATGAGGGCGGGAAGATGAACTTCACGGAGCCTATCGTCCGGGTCACATCGCCTCCAGCTGCAGATAACCTGGCTGGGGAGGTGGTCGACATTTTTATTCCCAAGCGATCCGAGCCCGCAAGTGAAACGTTGGCCGAGAAGCTGGCGGGCATCGTATTGCCCGACGACTGCTATGCGAACTACAAACAGGTGCGAAAGTGTTCGGGGTCGACCGAGGGGACATCCAGCTCGGTGCTGACGCCAACACGCTCGGCGTCGCTTGCCTCTTCATATGGACGCATAGAAGATTCTGTCGAGGCCCTGGACAAGCTCGAGGATGAGCTCGAAGAGCTAGACGCTGCCACGCGCGTCGATCACTTTGTGTCCCCTAAGAAGAACAAGCGAAGGTCCCTGATGACAATGGGCGAGGCACCGCGCATCGACCGAGTTGAGCTCAAGAGGTCATCTTCAGTCACGCACGGGCCCGCAGGCAGATCAGCCACGGTACGCGTCAAGCCGACAGGATTGCGACCGACGCTTCCAACGCTCCGAAGGTCAGCGTCATTGACAGGCCTTGCAAGGGATGAGTCGAAGGACGTTGCGGCAGTATGTGAAGGGGGCGTGTCGGCCCCAGCAACTTGCCGCAAGCCGGTCGCTGCCAGGCCTCCCAGTCTGAACCCTCCCAAGGCGGCTGTCAAGTCTGCCAAGGCGCCGACCAAGGCAAGCTTTGAACTCCCAGGCGAGGCCGTAGCCCGAAGAATCAAGGAGCAGAGGGAGGCTCGTCGAGCGGCGGCGGCGACGGCAGCGCTGGCGAGCCCTGACAAGACGACAACGACCACGACACCAATGCCTCAGCGATCAAGATCTATCAAGGCACCGACCCGGCCGAATTTCGAGCTACCCGGCGAGGCCATCTCGAGACGGAAGCGAGAGCAGAGAGAAAAGGAACTGCGAGAGCAGGAAGAGGCGGAGAAGAAGCGGCGAGAGTTTCGTGCGCAACCGGTGCGCGTCAATCCAGCAGCCAGCACGTTCCCCCGCGCAACAGCTGCGAGTCGCGCTCGTCGTGTCAAGGCTGGCGCAGGAGTGGAAGAAAACGCGCCGCTCGCTCGCTCAACGTCAGTGACGACAGCGTCCACGGCCTTGAAGCGCATGTCGATGGTGTCGGGAGGCACAGGTCGGCCTGCACTCGCAAGGGCGGCTAGCACGTCGTCAAAGCCCCGCGGTCGAGATGTCGCTGTGTCATCGGATGAGCCATTGGCCAGTCGGGGTACGTCGAGCTCGACACTCAGCGGGAAGCGGCACCAGCAGCGGCACCAGCAGCGGCATGAGCAGCGGCATGAGCAGCAGACGCAGCGCCGTGTCGGTGGAGGAGGTGCAGCGACAGAGACTCCGTGGCAAGGTGATTTACGAGCAAGACAACTGCTACGTGGAGGAGCGCGAGCGCGAGCGGCGGGAGCGCGAGGCGTCAGCTAAGAGAGCCCGCGAGGAAGCTGCTGAACGCTCTAGGCAGGCAAGCCGAGCGTGGGCTGAGAAGCAGAAACGACGCCTGACGGCAAGCTTTCAAGGTTGATGCAAGTCTTGTACGTTGTTGTATCCTTATCGTCACAACTAGTGCACGTGGGTTTGGGGGCGTTCGGGGTTTCTTCTGGGTTTTGGAACCTTCTTCTTGTTTGTCTTACCAGCCAGCTTTGGAGTTCAAAGGCGTCGTGGTTCCGAGGAACCTGAGTCTTTATCTGTCTGCCTCACTTAGGTAGTCTGCTTTGTGATAGTCTCAGAAAACAACATTTCTAAGTGCTCGTTATCCTGCTATTACAAGTGAGCATGCCACAACCACCCAAATGATCCAATGTTTGTCTTCTCATGGGCAATCGGCAGGCGGCGAGTCGGCACTGGGCACATTGTGTTGACCTCGTCCTCCCCCGCACGATAAGGGCCTCCACTTTGAACCTTCATCATCCATGTCAGGTATGGCCTCACCGTCACAACTTGTACTTCGCGGACTGACCACGAGTACGGATATCTATGTCTGCTCTCTATCTTGTCCACAGAGCCACTGTCTCTTCACCCACTGAAGGCGTCATTCAATCAGCGGCCTCGCAATGTCGCAGCCCACGGTTCGCCTCCGACAGGGGATATATCGCGGCAAGACACTCAATGAGGAGCCAACCCACGCCCACTTGCCGCAGACCATCGAGGCTTTCCTCGGTGTGCCCTACGCCAAGATCCCCGGCCGGTTCCGTGACGCCGATCCTCTGCCTTCCAGCGAAGCGACATTTGATGCCGTCAAGTACGGCCCCGTGTGTCCCGGCATCTTGAGCGAGATGGATCTCGCCGAAGGATGGGCCGTGGATGAAGATTGTCTCAGCGCGAACGTCTTCCGGCCGGCGGGGCTCAACGAGGACGACGCGGTGCCGGTGGTTGTGTACGTACACGGCGGCGCATTCAACATGGGCAAAGGAGGTGATCGGGCCATGGCGAGCTTCGTAGCCTATGCCCGAGGACCCATCGTCGCCGTCAGCTTCAACTACAGGGTCGGGCCGCTGGGGTTCCTGCCATCGTCTGCTATGGAGGAGGAGGGCCTGTTGAATCTGGGGCTGAGGGACCAGAGGGTTCTGCTGAGATGGGTCAGGGGTAATGTTGCGGCATTTGGCGGAGACCGCGAGAAGGTGACGCTCATGGGCGTCAGCGCTGGGGCACACTCGGTGAGCTTTCTCGTCCCAACTGCCCAACTGGGCCAGTACTATTCTCCACAGGCTTGGCTACTGATCATGCGATGGATAGATTGGACACCACCTTCTCACCCCTGACCCTCACAGGGACCCCTCTGCCTCGGCCCCCTCCTACCGAGCCATTCTCGAATCCCGCGCGGCCACGGCCCGCTCCGTGCTCTTGGCCCATCACGCTCGCCACGAGGACCAATTCAACGAATACATCGCTCATCTCCATTACCCGTCATCGCTGTCGAGCCAGGAGATTGTCCTCCGGCTGCGCGTCGAGCCGCTTCCCCGCCTCCTCGCCGTGCGCCAAGTCTGGCTCCCCTACGCGCCCTCGCTGCGCTGGCCCTTCCAGCCCGTGATCGACGGGCCTTCAGGCATCATCCCCTCGAGCCCTTCCCAGCTCTGGGCAGAGGGCCGCGGATCCGGGGCCCCGCTGCTCACGGGCTTCAACTCGCACGAGGGCGCCACCTTTGTCCCCGACACGCTCGCCACGGACGCCGACTTTCGCGCCTTCTTCCAGACGCTCCTGCCCGGCCTGTCGACGGTGGACCTCGACGAGCTGAGCGCCCTGTACCCGGCCGAGCCGCAGGCGGCGTACGGCCTGTCGTCGGGCTACCGCGGCGCGCACTTCCCGCGGGCCGCCGCCGCCTACGCGCACCAGGCGTACGTCGCGCCCGTGCTGTGGACCGCGTGCTGCGCCGCCAGCAGGGGCGCTGACGTCTGGGTGTACGAGTTCGCCGCGCGCGGGCCCGTCTTTGGGGGCGCGGGCCACGGCGAGGAGGGCGGCGTCGTCGCGCGCGACAGGCTCGTCGTCGCGCCGTTTGAGGGCCTCAACAGGGTGGCCGAGGCCATGCACGCGCGATTCAGCCGGTTTATCCAGACTGGAGCGCCTGACGGAGGCCCTGGCGGAGATGCGCATGCTGCCGCGTCAGGCCATGATGCTGATTCTGGATCTGGTCCTGGTCGTGGTTCTGGTCCAGGCGCTGTCGGAGATGACGTCTCGTGGTCGAGATTTATGCCCCCTTTTGACGGTGATCGGCAGGCGTCGGCCGTGAAGGATTTCGACCTGGCGGCCGGCAGAATCCTCGTGTTTGGCGGGGGAAATGATGAGCGTGCCGGTGGCGCGAGCCCGGGGACCGTCGCGCGCATGCGGCCGCTCACAGCGCGCGAGATAAGTCAGTGTCGCTTCTGGTGGCAGCGCGCCCATCTTGGCCAAGGGACGGGGGAGGCGAGGGCGGCGGCAGGGCGGCTAAGCGATGCCATAGAGACGCCCTCCACATAGTGGTCTGCATGTCAGGCGGCAGGGCCTGTTCCGTAAGCGAGAGAGAAGGGGGGGGGGAGTTGTTGTCGGCGAGGCTGACCCCCTTTCGACGTTGTCGACGAACGTTGCCCGAAGTTGCGATCCAACCCACGACAATGACATCAATCTATGCGCACTCACGATCGACATGACAATGAACCGTCTTCAGTTGCGAGAGAAGGTCGGCGAAGGACAGCGGCGAGGTGACGGCAACGGCGACGGTGACGGGGACGGTGACTTGAAGGGGCCTTCGAGTAAGTATAAAGGGGAGGGCAGTTTCGCCATTCTTCAACCAAATCTCATCATCAGAACACACAACACTATCAAACACCAAGACACCTACCATTTCAAACAATATACTTCGCTCCCAAGAAGACACTCTATCGCTTTCCCTTTACCCTGAAACAAATACAAGACCGCCATCATGCAGTTCACCATCACCGCCATCCTCTCCCTCGCCGCCCTCGCCGTGGCCTCCCCCATCGCCCCCGAGTCGCCCATCACGCTCGAGGCCATCAAGCGAAGCGTCGTTGAGAAACGCTGCCTCTACGACACCTGCACCGACTGCTGGGCCGCCACACCCCCCATCGGCTCCAGCCCCGGCTCCCACGGCGCCGCCGCTGGACAGTGAGTTCCCTCCCTCCACCTTGTACCCCTGAGCAGCTTGCTGACCTGACCGGATAGCTCCATCTACTGCGCTACCATTTGCGACTGCAGCTAAATGCCGAGTCTCTGACCCCCCCGGCCGAGGCACGGGCTTGCTTGGATTCACGGATCACTCGTGAGGAGAGTGAGGGGCCGAGGAGCCATGTTCGATAGTTGTAGCAATCCAGTCATTACATGCATTTCCCTAGCACACAACTAGGAATTGTTTCCTTCGCAGGTAGCTAGGCATTGAGCTCAAATCATACCCTTTGTTACCTGCCCAATAATTCGGCTGCTTTGAGATCAAACCAGTGACGCAACTCATCCGACCACTTCATATCTGCCCGCTGCTTAGGTACATCCTCAAGTTCCCATTATCTCTACTCAAAGTCATCATCCTGGCTATCCCACTCGGGATCCGTGTCGCCGCGCTCCGAGTCGACAAAGTCCTCCATGACAAACTGTTGCTCGCGCGGCTTCTGATTGTCCAACTTTATCTCGACAACAGTACAGAGACCCTGCACGAAGATGCCGTCCGACGCGCCAGCAGGAGAGTTGCCTTCGTTGCTCCCAGCCTCGCTCGCTTCTGTCTCGGACGAATCCATGTCCACGTCCAAGTCGTCCTCGTGATCAAACTCATCGCTGTCAGGCTCTTCGTACTGCTTTCGTTTGATCGACCGCAAGGGCTTGGACGCGCTGCTCGCACGCGATGATTGACCCGACGTCTTCGAGGCTATGCGCCTGCTCTGTCGCGCAGGCCTATCCGTGCTTGCTTTTTTCCCTTTGCGGGGCTTCTTTGGCGGTGTCGATTTGCTGCGCATGTTGGTGTCTTTGCTGCTGACTGGCGGGGGCGACAACTTGGGGCGCAGGAAAATCGTATTCAGCTTGGGCTCCCACACATGACGGAACTCGCTGCGCGACTTCCACGGAATGTTCAGCATGCAGCGGACAACGAGATAGCGTAACATGGGCAGCTGCGCAGCACTGTCAATCAGAGACTGGAAGAAGTTTGTGGCTGCCTCGACAGTCCACTGTCGAAGGTTGTCCAGCTCGATACGCTGTAGGGCAGCGGGCCATGTGGGAATCTGGTCGGGATATAGCAGCGTCTCGTATAAGGGGTTAGAATCATCGAAAGCATCATAGTGCCTGAAATACTGTAAATTCATACGCAGTTCGCGGAGGTCGGGGCAAGCGGTGCCCAGGACTGTGAGAAAGGACAAGTTAAGTGCTTGGTTGTGATCGAGGACAAGAGACTCCAGATGCCGTCCGTGTGACAGGAGAAATCCGGCCAAGTCTGTGGACTGCAGGTTCCAGCAATTAATGACCTTGAGTTGCTTCAGCTTCTGCGGCAGGCTTTGGAGCAGCGCGGCGTTGACCACAGATGACGACAGAAACGTGAGGTGTTCGAGTTCGTCAAGGCTAGACAAGCAAGCGGCGAAGGACCTGGAGAACTTTTGGTCCTTGCTTCGCGGGCGGCAATAGCGTCATCAGACTCGTCCTGCTTCGTCACGCGCATGTTCCAGGAAGGCACCTGGAAATTGGCAAAGCGAACTCTGCGGAGGTATGCGAAAGTGGGCAGGGCGTGTATCTCTTTTATCTTGTCTGCACCGGCGACGAAACCACGACTCGTCATGCGAGCGTTCCGGCAGAAGCCTTTGAGATGCTTACGAATCTATTGTCTCCCGGATC